TACCTACACGCGAGAAATGATCGGAAAATTGCATATATGCTACCTTCTGGAACATGAAAAATATCGCGCGGTGGTCGCTATTGTTCCTCGCCGGTGGAAGTTGAAAAAATACGTAGAAAACGCGGGAGCTTGTTCGCTAAGTAAAATGACGAATACCGTAACGTGAACGCCATAAGTGATCGCTCAGGGTTATTCAAATAGTAACTAATTCACTAATAGGCGGCGTTCGGAGATGAGCTAATTGCGCGGCATGACTGTCACACAGCCGTGACAAATTTGCTATATCGCGTTCGTTATTGAACGTTATTGCTGTTTGTCGTAAAGTGCATACCACGTGTTTTGGATCGCTCGGTTCGCAGTCTTGTAAATTTTATTTTTATCTGGAATTAGTATGCGTTTACAGACGGATTATATTCTTGACTGGAATTAGTTTGTAGGTGGCTTTTTATTCATAAATGTAATTAGTATGCATTTTTAGGTAGATTTTACTCCAGATTAGGATTAGTAAGCATTTACAGATGAATTTTTATTCTTAGGTGTAATTAGTATTTGCAGGTGGATTCTATACTTGAGTAGAATTGGTATGCATTTGGATTTTATTCTTGACTGAAGTTAGTATGCATTTACTTATAACATGCATTTATTATATGCATTTACTTAACACAAAATATTGCCAATCCTTCATGACGAATATGGATGAAACTATAAACAAAATAAATAAATACAAGAAAATTACAAAATAAAACAATCATTTCATTAGAACTTAATTCTATTTTATAACAACCACACGTATGTGTGGCTTTTCGAAGAGATTGCAACAGCTAAATTGGTTAAACAGCAATTACTCAAAAATCGCAAATTTAAAGCAGCAAATCGTAACATCGTTCTAACAGCGTCTGGAAATTCTTTTACTTTTCTATCATTCTATCGCAACTCAACCGTTTAAAATTGTCTAATGGAATAGTTGGTTTCAATACAAGTGTGAAACGAGAACAGATGACAATTAAAGGAGCATCTAGCAGTGCAGCTGTTTTTCGAGGATCGCGGCAACAGAAGTCAATCGGGTGATCCCGCAATTTGCTCCGGCGAAATCCTGGCCGGTCGGTTCGTACGTTCGCGTTTCGCTTGCACCGTTAACTATGAAATTCTAGGAGCTTTTCTTTCTACCGCCTTGGCCAGCCATTTAACCCAATTCCACGGCTCCGTTTCCAATGGGCGAACGAGGGAAGAAGAGCTAAGCATCTTACTGTTCGAAGGAAACTCGGTTCGAGGCGATCCGGATCGCGGGCCTTGGATCGAGCGAAACTACGCGACGGAAGATATTTTTCTGGCGATTGAATTTTTAAACTTCACTCTCGCGACGACCGGTCTCTAGGGAACCAATAACTTCGTGCAACAATGCAACGCTATAATTTTCAATCCCGATTCGGCATTACCGAGCTGTTCGTTTTTTTCAATCGTAAAGCGGTGGTCCTTTTGTTCGACTTCTATTGAGACACGTGCACTGCAGGATCATGGGAATAAGTGATGGAATTATTTAGCCGAGTCTTCGTCGTTCTCTAACCACTCTTCTTTAGTACACCTATATTTAGTCCGTTGTAAAAGCGTTCGCACATTGAAGATATTTCAGATATTTCACAAATTGCCGATACTTGAACTGTTATAATTTCGTAAAAATGAGTCACACCATAAAAAATCTGGACTTATGTTGAAGCTTGAGGCCTTTACTAATGATTATTGATGTTGTTAATTACCTCATTCATGCTGTCGCGTTGACCATATAGCGTTCACATGTAAGTTGGTTTTACTCGAAAATTTTGCAAATTCCAACGTCTCCAAAACCATTGAAAAAATTTGTTCACAGATCAGTTGACTGCAGACTTGAAGATCGAAGCTTTCCCTTTACAATGACTCCTCAAAGCTTGGTGTACACACACTTTTAGTCGTTTTATGAAACATAAAAAAAACGAGGAAACGAGGAACAAGTTCGGTCGTGTAGAGCTTCCGTAAACCTTGTGTCATCGTAACACTTTTCATTCAAAGTTCAATGGAGAGGCTACAAAAAATCGTACACCACTTTTAGGGGATCATCGTAAAGGGGATTTACAGACGCTTAAATCCGTAACATTTCCCAGAAAGAGCGTGTCACCATTTTGCCACCTGTTACATTACGAACAAACATATTACAGGAAAATGGACGCTGCACAGCGTGAAAGTGGAAGCATCAAGCTTTAAAAAATATAGGTAATATTTTTAAAAAACACAGATCGAAGCAGCAATATTCAAAGTATTATATTAAACGTGTTCCAGCCAAAAGTTTTCAAAAAATGGGATCGAAAACTTCGGAAGCAAAAGTAGTATTTTAATTCTCTCTGATTCTAGAATTCCTAATAAAATTCAGCTTGGAAAATCAGTTTCAAAACTTATTATTAGTAAAAAATTACTGTGATTGACGTAGCAATCATGGTATCAATGATATAACAAAGTTATAACATTTTCGTATTGATGTTATTTCGAATAGAAAGATCGGGAAATACTCTGCCAGCGCTGATTTCGAATGTCGAGGTCTCCACTATCACGGCTTCGAAGTTTTGTTTAAAGATCCTCGATTGATAGTGAATTACGTGGAATTTTTGCGCGAACGTGATTGAAAGAGATGTGGCATGGCACGTCAGGGTTGTCGTGCAAACGCAGCTGGTGTTACGGAATCAGATCGCAATATTCCGTGTTAATCGAAGGCGTACGGGTTTGCTGTAATGTCTGATGTATTATTCAATATATCTCTGCGGCAACCGGCATCGTTAATTGACATATTCGGCGGTAAATCGAGGACCTAGCCGCACGACGCGGCCGGCCTTTCGTGTCCTGATAGGGAACGGCCTTGACCAAACCGATGCCTCCTTATGAATCAATATCGCGGCTCAACCGGCCGCTAACACTTGTAAAATCCATTTCTGTTCCTGGGAACGTCCTATCGGCTATGTCGAGCGAATGCGCTAATTAGAGGTGCGAGAACAGCCTAACGAACTTGTTGTTTCGAGTGGTTGGACGTTTGGAGTGGGACGAATCAATTCAAAGCTGTTGGCCCAATTGGTAAAGATTTGTTAATGGTTCAGACAGCGTGAAAGCCGAATTTGATTAAAATTGGTTTGAAATTAGTTTTAATTCGGATTTAATTGGTTTGAATTTGGTTTAAATTGCTTTGAATTCGGTTTAAATTGGATTGAATTTGATTCGAATTGGTTTGAATTTGGTTTAAATTGGATCGAATTTGATTTAAAGTGGTTTGAATTTGGTTTAAATTGGATCGAATTTGTTTTAAATTGGATTGAATTTGTTTTAAATTGAATTGATTAAAATGGAATAAATTGGTTTAAATTGAATTGAATTTGGTTTGAATTGATTAAAATAGAGTGAATTGTGGTTTAAATTGGATTGAATTTGGTTTGCATTGATTTAAATTGGATCGAATTTGGTTTAAATTGGAAGAAATCAATTCTATTCAATTTTTGTTCTTCTTTCGCATATAAGATTGAAATTTCATGCTTGAATTTTTAAACATTTATTAAATGCAAACAGATTTAGCAGAATTCCTATTAGAGCGCATGCGTAGAAGAACCGTACTATCAACTATGTCATTTCTAGTTTTCTTCTAAATCGTGTCTAAAGTAATTTGTGCAAGGCTACAGTGGATTATAAGTGGTACCTCCGTTATTTGATCGGTCACCCGTGTTTGGTAGCAATGTACACACAATTTGAACATCGATATCATAAGAATAAACACCGGAAGGCGGGCCGACGGATATCTTCCAACTTCGATAAGTTGTTGGTTCGATACCTGCATTCGTTCCACCGCTGGTTATGATAAAGAAAGCACCGGGACAATGTATATGCAAATCGCAGCCTTGCGTTTAACTTTTCGGAATCGTAAATTCACTCCCAAGGACGAGTAAAAGACGCGAAGTGCGCGGCTCGGCTTCCTCGTGCAACCGGAATGCAATTTCTGTCGCGGTTTTTCATAAGCGACTGTTGCTTTACTTACGTGCAATTGTTTATTGCGAATATTGCTAACGTAAACATTGCTTGGTCCTGATATGTACCATTCACACTCGCTGGCAACAACGTACGAAATAATCGAATAGAACAATCGAAAGAGAAGGAACAAAATATATTCGAAGAATTTATTCGAAATATTTCTTGAATATATTCTAAGAATTTGAAAACGTCTATCCTGCATAAAGATCCTCGGTCAGATCGATCGGTAAAGATCCCCTCGCAATTTGTTAAAAATTATATAATTTTTATAATACTAATTATATAAAAAGAGCAACATTTTGCGACAAGGAAAGGGACGAGCCTTTAACTAGACGGAATCTAATTTTATAATAGAATCTAGTTTTTATGTCTCTTTTACGCGACAAAGAGGAAGTAAAGTATAATCTACACGGTGTTCGAAATGTGAACATTATCCATGGCACTATCGAACTTCATAGTGATCCGATTAGCGCACCGGCAACTTTGTTATTATGGTAGATGTAGTAACTATTCCGGACACCACGGATTAGCGGATGCTTCTACTTTGGATTAGCTCATCTGCTCACCCCTTCGCGGAACTACGTTACTTCGCTGGCCGTGGGAAACTGTTGCTGACGCGTGGCTAGACAGCGTGATTAGGTGAAACGAATAAGATACTTTCGCAAAATTTAACCGCTTAAGCGATCCGCAAAATTCAAGTATCTGACCGAAAAATTGCCCACTGTTTTTCTATTATCGAGGGGATATCCTACCGTAAAGTACGGCTTTCTTTAACTTTCTTTGAGATCCTTTCCTGAAGGGACCATGTCACGTTTTGCAATAGAGTCCGATATTATTCGAATAACATTTTATTCGAGAAATATTTCGAATAAATTATATATGAGGTCGCGACCGAAGTCGGTTGCACAATCAGCGTCCCGACGCGGTACTCAATGACTCCCAACTAACACCTAGTCATCGATCAGGTGTTTCAGGTGCATCTGGCATGATGACGAGGCGTCGCGCGAGCCAGTGGACCGTTATAACCGGAAGAGCAACCTGAAGGTCGGTTCTCGAGGATCGATCCTTCGATTGTCATCGATCGGGAGCCTGTCATCTTCGATCGTCACCGGCCACAATACGCGGGAGTAAAGAGGAATGGTCCCTTGGGCCTTTGGCGTGCCTCTCATCCTCGTTTCTACATTGGGTCTTCTTCTTAACGGTTACGTTCTACTCGTGGTTCTCGGGCTGAGCAAACAGGTGAATACCAAATCTCCGTACATTATCCTTTGAGAAAGGAGGATCAGCGGGATATGGATCTCGTGTCACTGATCTCGGTAACACTCTCCAGGAGACAATTGATCACTGACAGTGCATGATTGCACTTGACTAAACTATTATGGAATCTGATAGCGAAGAGCCTGCTACAGTTTCATTGGTTTTTCATTTCTCTGGTCTTAGAATTGTAGGTAAAGACGGGTGAATAATTTAGTGACCAACAGTGCGCGTAATGCATAACAAATAATATAAATATATATTCGCAAACAATAACTAACAACAACAATAACGATTCTAAATAACTAGAAAATATCGCGGCGATATACTGTTCGATTGTTCAACGCTTTCTCTATATCTGGCAAGGGATGTATGTACAAACGTGCTGATCGACGACTTTCCGAATTGCTAAGGAGAGGGAAATTCCTTATCTTTCAAACCGAAGAGAGAATTATCTTTAAAAAATCAATTCAGAAAAGTCGTCGCCTATGAGAACTTTCAAGCGACCAAGCCCAGGATCTGGACTTCGTCACTTTTATGACCGGTCCTTGAAATTCCTATATAATTATGAAGTAATTGAAGGACTCAAGCCATTATGATTACGAAATAATTGAATTACTGAAACAATTATAATTTAAACGATCTTAAAACCGGTTAACAAATTTTACGAAATTAAAAATACCATTTTCAAAACAGCTAATTATTTTCTATTATCAACTGAATCTAGATCGATTGAATTATGATTTTGCTATATGTATAAAGACGAATTGGAATCAACATCGATACACTGTTGTGAAAATTTGTACGAATAAATAAATAAAAGAGTTTATGTTTATATTTATGTATTTTACATTGATTAGCTTGCGCCATGGAAAACAAAATAACAATTAAGAAGAATACAGCGAATACAAGGTGGAGATTAAAAACTGGAAACTGTATTTCGTAAAATCAACATCCTCAAAAGCCGGTCTACAAATTCCCCAGCGGAAAAATTGAAGGAAATCTTGCGAAATTAAAAAAGCCTCGACCACAAGATGGACTAATAAAACTGCAATGAGCAAACCCGATAATAGCCAGAGAAATATCTCGAATTCAAAGGTCCATAAAAATTTCGCAATTACCGAACGATGGCTAAAATTTAATGGAAAGTTCGATGGAAAAGCTTTTCATTTCGTATTTATTAATCGGCCTTCGGAATCAATCTAAAATTCGCGTGTACCAACGGACACGTGGAGTAATAAAACCCGTGATCCACTCGACGCTCAGGATTCTCCCGAGGACGATATTTCTACGGTTCCCAATCGCCTCGAGGAAATTAATACCGGGTGAACGGCATTTCAGATGGACTCCGATTTTTCCGATCGCCGGATAATCCGGCCTTTTAAACGGCCGGGCTCTCCGCTTTCCGTTAGGGGAGCCACTCCTTTCGCAAGCATGACACATTTTCTCGGCCGGAGAAATGGAATCGGCGAAAGGAGAGTGGCCACCCTGGAAATAGCCTTGCGCTGTTACGCTTGCTGGCAGCTCGACAACGACAGCTCGACACGCGCCCGAACGCTGTTTGCAGACAGATTAGTTCAATACCCGGGTCTAACACGGTCGTGCAGGATTTTTCGAGGATGAATTTCTGTGGAAAATACCACTGCTGACGGCATGCTATTACTAGACTGCGGATCCTTTGTGCGAAAGAAACATTTTCTTAGCGCTACACCTACCGAGTGCTAAATGCGAACAACATAAAAGGGTGTTTCGTCTAACTGAGTACAGAGAAATATCTCGGAATGGGTTGCAGCTATGAAAAAAACGTTTATACAAAAGCTGTTCAGTATAAAACGGTGTCTTGCGTAGTATTAACAACTTTTTCATTTATGCAATAGTGGATGAGATTTCAAAGTCAACTTGTTTTTTTTTTTAAATCAGACCATACATTTTCTTATTCGTATAACTTCTATTCCATTTTGTTCACTATCTTTACGTCTATAAATAGTGTCTAACAATTTTGTCCAAGTAAAATTCTACCATTTTCGTTTAAATTCAACATTCTTTTGTTACCTTCTGCAAAATTTATGAAAATGTTACTTCGAAACTATTTTGCTTCATATGATACGCATTTTAATGTAAGTAACGCAGTGGGCCCCTTTTACAGATAGTGCAATGAAATTTTCACTAAGAGTAATTAAAAAATAGTAATTTTTAGTTACTGATGAATATTTTTTGCACTTGTTAAACAATGAATTTCAATAAATTTTTATTACGTCCTTCAAGCGAAATATTCTACTTTCAAACGCTCGACTTTAAATGTTCATAGTAACTAAAACATTTATTCGATCTCATTAATTTCTTCGTTTCTGCGGTCCATAGACTTTTATAAAGCAATGCAAATCGAATAATTATTAATTTCGAAAAGTTGATTTTTTCATAGAACGTCTCCGAATTCTTCACACAGGGGCCCACTGTGTGCCACCGCGACGGATCCAAAGTTGGCGGTGATGAAAGGATCGCAGGCTTTTCGCTATAATATCGAAGGACGCGGAGCGACAGTCACGAAACTGGGTCGAATGGAACGCGTCTCGACGCTCCGCGAAACTCCTCGTCAGATTTGCTGCGCTGTTTCCCTCCGTAAACGTGATTGTATTGCGAGCATCCACCCTTTCCCCCGAAACACTCCCCTAACGCCGGAGGTAAACAGAGCGTTAGAAAGAAAACGTTAGAGTCCCCGTTCGTGCGCAACCACCCCCTCCGTTTCCCTCAAATCCGTTTACCGGCTGAACGAACGCTGTTACGCGAACCTCGTGTATTAACATCGCCGAGCAAACTTCAGCCCTTTCTTTCTTTTCTTCCTGTTCACCGTCGGCACTGCTCCACGATGTATCTTGTTACGTTTAAGAACATGCACTTCCCAATCAATAATCCCCTGTCCGTTGCAATGTTTTCCCTTCGTTCGAGCCGCTTCATCGGTCTTCGAGCAGTTTGCTGTACCAACTTTGGACGCGTTTCGTGCAAACGGGGTGCGAAACGTTGCTTGGCCTCGATTTTTACGGCCGCCGAGTTTTGATCGGGCAATTCAACGGCAAGAACAATCGATTTGTACTTTCATCGACTCGAGTTTTAATATTCGAACATATTTTAACGCTTTACACACGAAGCTATTTATACTCTATATAGTATTTCTATTTTGTATGACTCGTTGGATTTTATGAATATGAAATTGAGCTTTTCGTGACTCATGCAAGAATTACGCTCTTAACAGTTTTTTTTTCAGATATAAACAGGTTTGACAATGTAAATATTGTTTTGATACACGATGCAACAATTTTTAGTGGTACCTCAGAGTCATCATTAAAAGTTGCTGAATTATTCCTCAGAAAAATTTTTACTTTATTCAAATCTATATCCAATGAATTGTTGGAATTGTAAGTGTTGTGTGTGCAATCATACGTATAAACTGAAACTAAGCCTAGAAAATATAAATGACAGCGTAGTTTAGAAGAACTGTCTCGATGTTGAAGTGAAAATAGCTTCGAGTGCAAAGTGTTAATATTGAGTAATTATTGTTCGGAAAGTTAACTTCGTATTTCGTCGTGTATGTAGAAGAGCCCAAAAATTGTGATTGATCCGATCACTGTTTATACTTTGTGCCAGTTCTCGATGAACAGAGTATAGATACTAAGACGTGGGTTCCCGGAAAGTGATTCTTTCACGCATAAAAAAAAAGAGGACGTCGCGTCTTCGAGATTGCGTAAGAATATTATATAAGAAAGTTGAGAAAAAGGCGAGGTTCGAGGAAAAGGCGAAGTTCGCGAGACGTATAAGGTGCGAGGCACAGAGCGAAAATTACACGTGTCCGGCTGGAAATTATGGTCCCCCGCGCGATGTCGAAGAAGTTTCGACGTGGGCGGAGAGAAGTTTAACAAGCTAACAGCGTAATACCGTGATGCCCGCAGACGCAGCAGCAACAAACCGCCAATACTTTGTTGCTGACACACTTGGGAGCGGTGGAGGCGGCTGTGTGCCTGATATTACTGATCTTTACTACTGGTTCCTGGCCGATCGCCGGCACCTGGTGCGTTCTACACGGCTTCCTGTTGACCGTTTTGCATCCGGTGGCTCTGTGGACCGTCACCGGCCTTAACTGCGACAGGTTAGTGCCTAATTTCCTCTGCTCTCTCTCTCTCTCTCTCTCTCTGTTTCTCGTTCACGTACTTTCTCGGCTCGTAGAGAGCCTCGTTACATCGGATGTTAAACTTCCGGCGATTTTATCCTTGGTCTTTGTTGATTCGAATTGTTTCTTGATGTTCATTTCATCCATAATTTTAAAAACAGGTTTATCGAACACATGAGAATTATGGGTACTAAAGATATATTTATGAGTTGTTTATTTAATACGCGTGTTACTTGCGGCAAATGTTACAATAACAGTCGTTATAAATTAGAATAAATGTTTTATTGTTACTTTTATAAACTAATATAAAACGGTTGCTTTTAGTGCTCCGTAAATCTAGTGTCAAGGAAAAGAATTTCTGCAGGGCTAATTGCTCGTCGATCAGTCTGGAGGACAAAGTAATTGCTTATCACTAATTTTGAGAATAATAATAATAATAATAATAATAGTTAGGTGATCAACGGCAGAAAGTTCCAAAGATCGTAATATTTATCGATAGAAAAGGCGCCAATCGGATACATTTTTAAGAACAATTGCGACTCTATAAAGGTTGAGTGGTTCACCGAGGTGACGGTCTGATTAATCCTCCAAAGAAAAAATGTCACGCTACGAGGTTGTAAAGATTTTATCGAACATTCGTTTCGAGATCGTACTCCACAGGAAGATACTGTCCGCAAACTTCGCGGATGATTCTCCACAAAATTGCAACTCTCTTTCAGGATTCACGTAGAAACATCATTTTCGCTAAATATCAACGCTATACGTAGATTAATCCTTGCAAAGTTGATTTAGCAGAATCCTTTTCAACGATAATTTAATACAATCCAAGGACGCCTCAATCGAATCCTTTCATCAGAATTTTCTTATCGTTTGCGAAAAAGGAAACGATTTTCACAGGAAATCACTGTTTTAGAAATCTATATCGTCGTGATACACATAGAAGCAGATCCACAATCGACTCTGATATTCGTTTCTGTTCGCGAAGATGAGGGAGAATCCAGGTGTCTGGCAACTATAAAATTCTCGAATTATACCGCAATCAGGAGACAATCGAATTCTACGCTTCAGTTCCATCGTTCACCGTCAACGTAAACCCGAGTACCCTAAGTCAACGGAACACGTGCGGCTCGTTTCGCCTCGCAACGCTACCGCGACACCAGCAACCGACGATCTACTCGTCGTGTTTCATATTGAATCGAAGATCTCTCCCGTCGGTTGACGGTCGAAGAGATACCAGTTGAATGCCAGGAGCCGCTATTGACATCTTACATTGAAAAGCTCGGTCGGCTTTGTGCGCCGCAAGGTCACGTCTCGTCGAACGTCACCGTGGCTTCCAGATCGAACCCGATTTTTCTATCGCGAATCCTGCCGGATAAAGGACCTTTGATCCAACGGCTTACCGGCTTCGCGGCCGCAGGATCGGCAACCTTTATTCCGACACGAATCGTCCGTTCCCGATCATGCTTCCTCATCAACATTCATATCTTTGTCAGTTATACCTTATCCGTTGCAAACAGACTGTTTTGTAGGTTCCTTGATTTCGTGCCTTGTCCTTTTGTTACGACAGAAGACAAGCTATGGTACTCTTAGGATTTACGAGATCATTCCTGTGGTTCCTGAAATGCTACATTCTAAAGAATAGTCGCATGTCTCTACCAAGTTGCAATACCGGTCTTTTATACATTCTTTAAAAATAGTCTATAGCAATTATGTTCGAATATCAGTCTTCTATACTCCGTAAAGAATAATCTTATGACTTCTGGTTTTCAATACCAGTCTTTTGTGCACTCTAAAGAAACTAAAGAAAAATCGTACGACTCGTAGCTTTCAATACTAATCTTTTACACTCTATACTATCCAAAGCGAAACGTTGCGAAAGAAACACCAAACTTGTCGCCGCTAAATCGTGGGACACCTTCGTAGCGTGAAACCGTTTTGAAATGTGATTTTTTGCCGCGAATAATAGCCTCGGCAGACTGAGATTATTAGATTCGTATGCCGTGAGGATGAAAATCCATTGGACGGTCGCATTGAAAGTCTTCGCTCGAAATATACGTGTTGAACAAGCGCGACGGGCGCGTTATCGGACGCGTTCGGTGTCGGCGGCGAGCGCGGAACGGGATGAAATTGCTCCCATTTCGCGATCACCAGCCGGGCAATAAGAACACCAGGAATATAACAAACACTTGGACGGTATTGAGTGGCTGCGGAATCAGGCCGGATGCTCGCGGACAAAAATACTGGAGGACAGGCGCGATGCCATCGTTGAAATACCAATCCGCGGGTTTAGATATCAGGTCGATCAAAGGCCATATATATATATTATTCATCGGCTCCGTGGATTTAAACTGTCCTCCTCGTGATTTCGTATACGTACACGCAAGCTTCTCCCGTCGGTCGTCCGTCCGTCTTTTTCTCCGCTTGCGAATTTATTCGTGGACGTTGAGCATATAAATCGATCGAAAGCAATTAACTGCACTCGAATCGTAAACGATGGGAATTTGGACGAGATTCGTGCCGGATGGATTCAGTTGCAGGATTATGTGATTATTGTGCAGGTACTACGCCATTGCAGCGCCGTTGCACTACGCTGCCCTGGTGTCCCCGCGGCGCGTTGCGGTTGGTCTGGCTGCATCCTGGACAGGGGCTCTGCTGCTTTGTATGCTGCCATTTTGGGGACTCGTCCCACCTTATAGGTGTGTTGCACCTGTTTTTCGGTTGGGCGTTTTATGGTCGATGCACATCTACTTGCCCGGCACCGTTCAAACGTGTTCATACTTGCAGGCAAGCCCGGGCCAGGCTTGCTTCGCCCGTAATAAAATCAAAGCAAGACGGAACTACGGAATTGCGTAAACTGCGCAATCTTTCATTCTAGCGTTGCAGGCAATAAACCCGGGAAAGCATTTTGACGTGACAAAGCATGCAAAAAAAGGAATCTATGAAGGCTAGATAATGGCTCGACTCCTGGTAACCATCTGTGGATCATAATTCAATAAAATATTAAATTTTGAAGAAAATAACGGCTTTTCGGAGTAACTGCATACTATAGATGGATTAGTATTGTTTGACGAACAGATGGGGTCGAAAGGGAATTTCCTGATTCTTTACGGCTTTGAACGCGGAACATGATGTATACCCAGCTGTTCATTTAAAAAATACATTTTCAATTGTGCAATGAAATATAAATTTTAATGTAAGATACATTTACACAAAGGAGTAAAATGGAAAATCGACTATCAACACGTACGGTACCACACAAAATTGAGTGGACATTCTTCAAAACGCAGTACATATCTCTTTCAAAACTTGGACTAAAAAACTAGAATTTTTTTAAAAATGATAGTGGGTTTTTAATTGATAGATCTTTAATTGTTTAGAGCTCGTTTTAAAATCAATCGATTTCGATGAAATTTTCAGTACGGATATAAGAACTACAAAACGCATTTATAGGGTCAGATAAAAAAGTTAAAAAGCAGNAAAAATACATTTTCAATTGTGCAATGAAATATAAATTTTAATGTAAGATTCATTTCCACAAAGACTAATATAGAAGGGTGTATAAACTACAAAAATACAAAATTCGTCAGGATGACGTTTCACTGGTTTCCTAAAATATTTAAGTTAATATTAATATGAAAAATATATTTATATTTTTCATAAAAATCAATACAATCTTTATAAAATTATATCGTGTTTGGTCTTATTTTAATCAGAAAAAGCTCACGATTGCATTGGAAAAAGTCCCATTAAAAAATAGTGAAAAATGAAGAAGTTGCACATTGGGTTATTATCTATTCTTCATTTGTCTGGCACCATGCTCGCACGTCTAATGTGGATACTCTCAATCGAGCACGCTGCTAGCACGACCCGAGCCTGGCACGTAGATGTGCATCGATCGTTATTCGTCGTTTAATCTTTGTATCGACAATTTTGTGCATTGTGAATCCACTTGTAACACTCATAATATTTCGAATAAAATTTTATTTTATTTCAAATTGCATGGTATTATTTTTATTTCGAATTGCGTGGGTAATTTAATTGATTGGAGACCTAAATTCCTAATTACAGGTTCAATTATAACGTACTTAAATTATCTCGTAATTATATTACTTTTAGTAATACATTTGTAGTTTCGCAGAACGGTGTTTATAGGCGATAATGGGTGTTTGTTTGTCGCAGATACAGTCCAGGTCTGGGCTGTTGTGCGCCGGATTTCGGTAACGACTCGTGGGGTCTAGCCACGGCGGTTTACGGGGCGGTTTACGCGATCCTCGGGCTGGCTTTGCCGGTGGTGCTCGTCACCGTTTGCAATTTGCGCGTGCTCGGCATAGCGCGTTATCACCGTCACCGCATCGCCAGCGCAATTTACGAAGTCACCTTGAGCGCCCAAGTGACCATCACCCATCAACGGAATCCGTTTTTCGTACCGACTGTCACGGCACCGTCCGCCATCAGCCCGCCCCGTTTCCACAGCGCGGCTAGCACGGTTCGTATTCCTCCCCCCTTCGATTCGCCCTCACCCCTCGCTGTAATATCTGTTTGCTCCGCATAATTCATCGTTCGCGTGATACTAACCAAGCGAAGCCACTTCTCGTCGTACGTAATTCCGTCGGTTGCGACGGATATTGCTGCGGACAGCTCGCCAGCTTAGGCAGAACCGACCGGTTTCCTGGCCGTTTTATCTCGAGGAGTCTCCGGACACTGATAGCGAGATGACACGAGATCGAAAATCACTGTCAAGTGCATTCGAAATTGTCCGTGAAGAACGCGTGATTTCAATGTTTGAGCTCTGGCGGCTAGGGTATTCATTAATTGTAAGAGATTTCAGTTATCCATTAATTTCTGGAGACTAGGGTATTAATTAATTTCTGAAAACCAGAGTATTAATTAATTTCTGGAGACTTCGTTATTCGTTAATTTCTGTGTACTGAGCAACAAACGCGTCGTATGCAAATTGTATGCGAAGCGTATTTTTTCGATTCGGTCGCCGTAATCCCTACGTTCTGTGCGAGAGAACGTTTCCTCACGGAGATGCAGTAGAAACACTGAATTTCCAGGTGATGCAACTGGTCGGCTCTCTGTACCTGCTTTATTTCCCGTATTGCGGCCTGATCCTCTGGGAGGTTTGTAGCGTCGGCAATCAACCTCACCTGCACGACCATCCGAAGCTGGCTTCATTGGCCTCTCTTCTGCTCGCCTGTTCCCCGCCTATCAACGGTCTCCTTTACGGCCTGAAGTCACAGACCCTTCGACGATCCGTGCAGAACTATTGGCGGAAAAAGGCGACCAAGTCGGAGCTCCAGCAAGTAATGATCCCGATCTCGGAACAATTATATCGAACCTGTTCGATCGTGTACTCTTATTTCTAATCGATCTCGCTTTGTCCACCCTTAAGTGTACCTTGAAATTGTACTTCGAGGGTGCAGCGACTCCAATGAACTCAGTACACGTTCGTTTCTATCGACTAATGCAAATCGATTTTAGAAATTGTAGATTCATTCGCTTTCTTCACAAGATCTGCAGAAAATTTTTAGCATAAATGTCGGCCAACTTTGACCGACGAAAACTTCAAAAAACCGCCAAAAATCATCATTTTTTCTAATTAAAGCTTGAAATGTCTGCTTTAAGATACCATTCCTTGATTTTAAGTTTGTTGCCACTTTAACCATTTAAATGTGACGCCATGTTTGTCATATTGAAAATTACCATTTAAATGTTTGCCATATTGAAAATTGCTAACTTCGACGGAATACACGGACACCGTCAAATCTTTTTCGGGGATGCCGTTCGCAACGGAATGAAGTTCGATCCTTCCTCTTTAATTTAAAAAAAGAAAGAGAAACTTGGCTGCGATTTTTTCCCGCAATGTTGCAGCACTTTAAAGTAACGCTTGTCAATCTCAAACGTCAGTCCCCTGGAAAAGGGTAGTTATTCGAAGCAATTTTCAATGTGACAAACATGGCTTCACATTTAAATGGTTGCAGTGATGTGATTTCAAGCAAAAATCATCATCCCGCGATGATTTCTCGCGGGGTTATCGTCGGTCGAAGTTGGCCAACTTTTATCCAAAAATTGATCTACGCTATAATTTTGTTGGGCGCGTATTTTGTAAAAGGTCGAAAAATTACGAAAAATTACAGAGTTAGAATAGGAAGTTTCGCGCGCGCGCGAGTACGTGCTAAGGCAGATTTAAAGAGATCTCCCGGTTCGGGATATGCAGGAAATTCAAGCAAGGACACCGAGCGCGGCAGGTTCGAGAAGACCGTCCGGAAGTGGAACTGGTTCCTTCTTCCCTTTCCCGCCATTACAACGAAGGCTCAGCGAAGCCTTGCTGGCGTTGGGCTCCTGTCGCACCGGTAACAGTTTTGACAGCAACAGCCTCGGTTTCCATCGAACCAGGCTGCAACCCGCTGCATCCTGCAACACGCTTCGCGTGCCCGCTTCTGAATCAGGTTGGCAGTTGAAATCCTAATCAAAAAGTTGTTCGATCATCCGACGATCGGAGAACTCGTGTCTGAGCAACTGATCTCGAACTATTCTCTTTGATCAAATGGTGTCTTACATTCCTTTGCGTTTATCAATAAATAATTAATTGAAGACCATTGCAACGGTTCAAAAGAGATTAATTCATATGAACATTACTATTTGGTAGATTATGCATGAAATCTTCATCGCGAATCTAACTAGTTACGGTGAAAAGGGTTGAATAATACAAAGTGTACTCTCAAAACATCAGTGTTTCTACTGATCGGTTCACTCGAACATCAAACGCGGTGAATCTCTTCTGCAATTTTTCTGAAGTACTGCTGTCATGTCCTAAATTTCAAAGTTAATTATATTAAACTGTAACAAATACTTATATATTTAAGAAATTATAATAATACTAGAGAAATATTGCAGAAATTCACTGCATTTGATGATATAAAAAAATATATATATTTTACATTATAATAAAAGTACCGTCAATGTTATACAAAAAAATTAAAATTTTCTTTCCATCGATAATATCCACCGCGTTTATTAATTACTGCGTAGAGTAATTTCGATATAATGGGTGAACCAAAATTCTAGCGAGGACTATCAAATACAACAGAAATTTTGTATGTCGAAAATTGTTCGTGCGACGTCCGTTTAAAGTTCAACTATTCTGACACGAATTCGTTCATTTTTCACCGGTACGCGGCGGCGCGGCGCGTCTCGCTCTGAAACTTCCACGAGCCGTTTGATCATAGACATTTCATTATCGCCGACACGATCCAATTATTGTGTGAATAGGCGAAAGCAGCAAGCTCGTGAGGTCGAGCGCGAGCGCAGCCAGCTTGATGGGTCCTCATTACCGAAGCGACTTCATCGGGGCGGACGTGAGCGCCGGCTGCTCTATAGCAATGAACGAGACGCCAAGAAGAAGCCCGAGGATCCTCATAACGCGGGCCTGCAGCGAAGAAAGTCAAGACGGGGGAAGCCCGTTGCTGAGGAAGCCGTTCGTCTCGAGTGCGCTGCCGTGCGACAGTAAATATATAAATCTTTTCGAATCGCCTCGCGAACCACTGCCAGCAATTGCTTCGAGCGGGCGGCTAGAGAAAATCATGCGTCGAATTTTAGGGTGTCATTGAAAAAAGGAAGCTACGATCTTCGTAGCTGTTGACAGCAATTATTAACAACAATTGAGAACAGCAATTATTAACAGCAATTATGAACAGCAATTACGAACAGTAGTTATTATTTTGACACGCTTCCCAACCTACTTGTCCGAGATCTACTATGTTCTCCGAGAGCCGCTAGGAAATTGAAAGTTAGATGAAATATAATTGCTGAAACTAAACGGCCCCGAGGTCCCGCCGCGACAGGGTTAATTAACGAGAAATCTCTCTCTCTGTTTTCGATAGAACGAAGATGGCGGCACTGCAGCACCGGAAGCGACAGCAGCACAGGAAGCAGCGAGGCGAGCGTGTGGACGACGGGCGTCGCGCAGAAGCTCGCGAAAGCGAATGCAAAAACCGCGTCCGACATCTGGCAATCGTCGCGGCGATTTGGTCGCAAGAATCTCGAGGAGGGAGCGCTTTTGGTCGGTGTACGACCGAGCAATAACAGCGAGAGCAGCGACACCACCGACACGACCGTTACCACCACCACTACCATGACGATACCGAAGGCTGGAACGTTGGTAATGACCGTGTTCCCGCCGCGAAACTTCTTCCTTTTTACAGAATGCTCGAAAGAAAGCGCTAAGATCTTCAAGATCCACCACTTAATTACGTCTTTGAAACGAAAAATGCCACGTCTCTACAGCGCCTCCATTAACAGTATTCCATCTCCACTTCGTAATCATTGCACGTAAACGACTTGAATTTTTTGGAGATGTTTTCGTGGGACTAGCTTTCTTCTTTTAAATATAAATATAAATCATTATAAACTCAAAGTAACTTTTTCACACTTTGACTGATATTTAAATAAAAATAAAAAAAAAGAGATCTGTATTTGTACATTTCGATTTTCTATTATTTCTAATGTTGAAATATACAAATACGGTGTTTTGTTAAGTTTTTGCTTAAATGTCACTGAAGATGGAAAAGTTACGTTGCGTCTATAATTATTCACGCCACTGTATTTGTAGAGGAAATATTTGAAATACTATTTTATAAATACTAGATTCTTTACAATTCAAATGAAACAGTATTCAGTAAAGTACTACATCAGAAACATTTTCCCGGTGTGCCGTTTCGCGCAGGAGAACGGTGGCTGTCGGGAACAAGCGAAGGAAGAACCGGAGGACTGCAAAGGCGACGGCGAGCGAAGCGAGAGTGGCCATAGTTGGAGCAGCGTCGACGACGTCGACGCGAAGGAAATCGCGGAAAAGGGTGCCGCGGAGGAGAATCTGGAGAAGATCGAGGCCGACAAAGGGGGACATAGGTGCAAGCAATTAAGGCGGAAATCGAAAACGATTCGCAAGCCGGACGTTCCTCAGGATTGCAAAGAGATCGCGCAACGCAGGCCTCTTCTCGCCTCGTCCTCTTAACTCCGATCGATCGATCGGTTGGTCGACTCAGACCGGTGTGCGTCCGATTCCAGTTTTCAGTTTATCAGTTTCTACCCCGATTTTTCTCCGCTGCCAACGATCCTCCGTGGGTTGCGTTACGCCGCGACCGACTACCGCGTTCGAAATGACTCGGTTTCTTATTTGACAGTTCCACGGTCTCGCGTGAAACGCTGGGATAACTTACAATCGGTGTACAAAGTATTCGTACACATTTTAGAGGGATTATTTTGCTAGAAATTTGTTTAAAAAATTGTTTGATAAAATTGCAATCGGTTGGCATGGTAAAAGAATTTAAAAAATGACGTTTTTCTAGCCTTTTTATCTGAGCCCATTAGGAAAATTTTAAAAATGTATTTTGCAGATCTCCGTAAATTATATGCCTGCTAAAAATTATAATATCATGCAGGAGATTAGATTAACCATCATTTTAACAAACCTGCAGCCAAAGTGTTCATTCACTGGACAGATCGCTTACCGTGAAAGAACGAATCAATGAACCGAACAAGAAACTGGCAAGTCTCTGGAGGCTGAAAAGACAACGCAACCCGCGCGGGATTCGATTGAACAGACAAGGACCGGAAGTGAACGGAGCCGTTTCGAGTGTGCCACAGTCCAGAAGGAACTATTATTTTTTTAAGGACCCGATCCCGTTGTTCACCGAACGTCCGTCGAGCTCGAGGAAGAAAGAGAATGGTCCCGACGTGTCCCTTTATGCTCGATATCGCTTATAATGTATCGACATATCCTGAAATTATATTTTTATACTTCCACTCAGCCAGAGAGAGAGAAAGAGAGAGAGAGAGAGCTAGAGAGAGAGAAAGAAAGAGAGAGAAAGCAGCGTTAACATAATGGCCGTCTGCCAGGAGAGTTTCGCGACCTTAGCCGTGACGATCGACGCATTTGGGACGATTCGATCGACATTCTTTAATCATTCTAACATTCTAACGAGTATTTCCTCGATGAAACGAGTATTCATTGATGGAAAGTCGATATTCATTATTGTGGACGTAACCTCAACTCTTTCCAGAATAAAATTCAATTTCGCAATGGAAACCCTGCAGAATTTTGCTCAATTCCGATTTCAATGGCGGATGAGATCGTCTTGATGTAAATCTCGCGGGATATAGAGGAAAAATAGATATTTCTCTGAACTAATTATATTTTTGTCAAACCTTGATGCGTTAAAATACACGTCGATAGATAATCCTACGAAAGAGTTGGATCTTAAAATTTTATTCGGATGACGAATACGAGATAAAAATACTAACGAGTCAAATTTTATTCGACACTGTCGGATAAATATCTAATCGAATAAAAATTGATTTGGATAACAATTTATCTGAATAAGAATTTCTTCGAATGATTCATTCGAATAAGAATTTCTTCGAATAATTCGTCCGAATAAGAATAACTTATTCGAATAAAGAAGGAAAAATTGTTTAGATAAATAGATACAATAATTTATTACGAATAATAAATCATTGTTATTCGAATACAAAATTTAGCTAAAAAGAATTCATTCGAATAATTACTTCAGATATATATTTATTGGAAACAATTCGAATATATATATTGCCCAACTCTGCCCTGTGGTTGCAAGAAAGAACGCCTAATTTTTCTTAATACAGCGTTTTAAATTGCATAAATTGCGTGAATCCTATTCCTCACGGCACATTGAATACGCAGACTTCAATTTTTTGAGACACACAACGTTTTCGCCAGAGCCAGAGAATTATGCGAAACCGTGCAACCTGTGGCGTCGCGATCCCGAATGCGTCGACGCGACACGGTCAGGTTAATCTCGTCGCAAAAAGGAACAAAGTTGCCCTCCCCCACCTCGAGACGAGGAAAGTTGATAGTCCAATCATCCTTGTAGAAGCGCCGGCAAGTCCGGAGGAAAGTTCGCGACGGCGCTCGTTGGAATAATTTTCTTTGTTACCTCACCGTCGCCATTCGCGACAAAACTTCGCGGGAAAGAAACATCGCGCGACAAGTAAACGAACACCCGAGAAAGTTCTTTGTGCAGCGGAATCCGGCGGCAAACAGCCGTTGCCCTCTACAGACGCTCGAATCTCCGGCGAAATATTTTTGCGATCAATGTAGATGCTTCTGGCGCGACGACTCGACAAGGACAATATCGTATTTCGGGGTTTAGTCAACATTTTCTTCGAATTATTTGCTGAAACAATAGGAAGAAGAGTCGGTTCTTTTTTCAAAGTTTTGGTTTGTTTAATCAGTATCGAATAAAATTTTCTTCGAAATATTTGAATAGAATTTATTCAAAATGTTCGGGAAATTTACTCGAAATATTCGAAGAATTCATTCAAAATACTCGAATAGAATTTTATTCGGAATATTGCTTGAATAAAGTTTTATTCAAAAAAACTTATTCGAAAAATTATACAAATAAAATTGTATTCAAGAAATGTATTCGAAATATTACTCAAATAAGATTTTATTCGAAATATTATATGAATAAAATTTGATTCGAAAAATTAATTCGATATATTACTCGAATAAAATTCTATTCGAAGAATTTATTGACTTCGAAGAATTTATTCAAAATGTCTTTCGAATATAATTTTATTCGAAACATTATTCAAATATTGCCCAACTCTGCTCAACATATTTTTTAGGATACTTGAAAACTAGATACATAGTCAAATAACAATATATTTACTCTGGGTCTAAATGGACCCACGAAGCCCCACCGCCGTCTAATTGTTAATGAATCCTGCTTTTGAAAGACTGCAAACCAAATTTTTGTGCTCACGATTCGCTGTAGTAAATCTGTCTAGACACGTTGGAATTTTCAGTTTGTCTTTAACGTTGATATTTGAGATCAAATATTGAATCGGCAGAGTTGTAGATGGTTTTACATGCAACAGAGTTCCAAAAGAACCGGTTTCTACATGTGGACGATCACGATAATAATTTTTCCACTTGAAAATCGTCGAAACGGAATGTATTCAATTGTAACCACGTGGTACGTGGTACGTGCAAAGGCCTCAATGTGGCCCAATTCGTGATTATACAAAAAATCATGCTCTTATCTACATGACTGACCAACGTTACGATGTGAAATTCTTGTAAAAATTACAATCATCCGAAATATTACGAAATTACAGTATCTTGAAACTGACAGAAAAAACTTCGGATCTCTCCTCAGCCAATCTCGAATGCTACGATAACATTGCATAGTTTTTTCCTCATCAGTATCTAATGAAAGAATGTCGGAGATTGCGAAATATCGTCCACAATTTTCCATGAATATCGTTTTGTGTTTCGTTTTACGCATACTAATGTACAGTTTTTGACAGATCAACGATTCCGTTTACCGAACGCTCCCATTCCGAGCACCGTCTGTGTTATTTCGTTTCATCCATTATGGCGCTCATAATATTTAATTAAGCGGCTGTGCGGGTACGACGATACGCCAACATGTCGAATAACGCCGAGCAAATATTGAAAATTTATTCGAGTCGATATGCCCGATCGCGCGAGTTCAACGAACGATTGCGAAACAGTCGTTCGATCCGGGGATCGAAGAGTCGCGGAGCGGTTTAATCAGTTTTATTTAAACCATATGAGCTTTGTTTAAGCCAGGAGAATTTTTTTTAACAACATTTCCTCGATGCAAAGGTTTTCATTCGGACAGAATTGAGAAAATAGAGATTTTGATAAAAATTGTCCTGCAAAAGAAATAAATATTGAGAAATTGTAGCACAAATACTGAGTACCATTGAACGAATAACATTGCGCTTGTTTAACGTTGCATCATTATTGCATTTGTAATAGTTAAAAGATTTCAAAATTCAATTAAACATACGAAGAGTGAATAAACGATTAAAAAAATAACATACTTCCACGAACCGTCGAGTACATAGATTCCGAAAAATCTATTTCTTCTTAAAAGAACATCAATTTTTCTATATTTTTGTAAATGCAGCTTTTCGTCCGGCTTTGGAACTCTGTGATGGTTTTTATTACACTTTTGTCAAATTCTCCGTCAATTTGAATCTGCAGTAACATTATGTTTTTCCCTAGTTTCATGAATATTATTTAAAACATTAGGTTTCTGTCAAATTTCGTCCGTTTCATGAATGCGTTATGCTTTCGTCGAGTTTCGACAATTTCATTAAATTATGTTTATGTATTACGTTATGCTTTCATCAAGTTTCATCAATGTTATTGTAAAGAAACAAAACGCGTTACGGAGAGGTTCGAACGTGTTCTGCACACGAACGTTGAACACAGCGCGTTGGAATTTGACAGAGATTCGCGAACTTAGAGGACTTGGGATTGTTCGCCTGGGAAATTGGCGTGATTGACGAGCGGATCGATCAATGGTTAAATGATCGTTGATCGGAAGATCGCTAATCGATAATAAACAACGATCGCATGGACGGCCGAACAAATCAAATGTGATCGAGGAGAGCGAGGACGATGGTTTTCACCGGAGAAATTTGTACAGTTCGTCCGCGAGCTTTGATCGACAACTGCGTTCCCATCGACGCGATAATAATTTGCAATTTAGCGGTAGCAAGCGTCCTCGGAATGTTAACCAAACGTTAATCTTCGCGATTGTTGGAATTGATGTTTCAGATTTTGTAGAACGCGAGAGTATGCGTGTGTACGCGATTGTGTCTGATCGTATGTGTGTCGTCGAACGTGTGCAATTGCCACGGTGTTGAGTATTTCGCGATAAACGAAGTATCATTTTTCCTCGAACTTCGAGGAGAGATCATTTTTCCAGAATCATCTTGATTTCGCCCGAATCGTTTTTGCCCTGTTAACGGACGTCTTTCCTCCCCGGGACGTGCCAGTAAGAGATTCATTAAGGAAACATTGTTCATGAATAATTTACAAGGCTCACCTGTGTACACCTCGATGTTCGAAGACCATAGAGAGGCGAGAATGTTGTTTACCTTTGATTCGCGTGCTCCGTCTGTCGCTTATAAATTCGTCAATTAGTGCAGAAGGAGAAAAGTATGCGTCTCGTGTTCTCTTTTGCCGTGCCGGCTTGAAGAACTTTGTCGGGTCCGGGTGTTGCATCAATGTTAATTATAGTTACGGTATCACCACCTAAATGATGTCTGAGTGTATGTCGTTAGTGCAAATAAAAGTATTGTTTCAACACAGCGCAGCTGTCTCCTTCGTGCGCGTTCCGCCAAGTCGGAATAAAGAGACCAAAACTGTTCGAATCTTTCACCGTGACACATTTCGCCCTTTCAGAATCCTGTGAATCCTAATGCGACTCGGTCTAAACGTTGCTACAAAAATTAACTTGTTGGCAATGACT